CAGCACACAGAGCCCACAGCCTCAGAGAAAACATTTCCAGGATCCCTTGAAATATCAGACTCTGATTTCTTCTGTTTGAAGCGGGAGGATCTTCCCGAGCCCTTCGGGGAGCTGCTGGGGCCGAGCTTTATGGACACAAAGGAGATTTTTGCCGCCGGCGGGGATGATGCCAGCATCCCAGCTCCCTGGTGAAGGCAGGCATGGCAGCACAGCCCTGCAGGAACCCCAGAAGCTTCCAGGCCCGACGCTGACGTGCTCCCCAGGGCTCGTCTGGGTCTGTGCTGCGGGCAGAGGGCTCTCAGATGTGGGTCCGGGCACAAAGCTGAGCGAGGAGCCCAGGAATCCCAGCTCTCGCTGCCTCGCTTCCCCTCCTGCACACAACGCTGCCTTCCCAGAGAGGCTCTCAGCAACGGCAGCGACGCATCCAGCCCGGCTCTGGCAACCACAGGCGCTTTGAGGCCATCTGCTGAGCCATCGGCCGAGGGCACCGCAGGCTGCAGCCGGGGGGGCTCAGAGCCACAGCAGCCCTGGCAGAAGCAGAACCTTCCTTCCACACTGCCCGGCACCACTGGGAGCAGCGGGGGCCCCCAGGGAGCACAAACACAAAGCAAAACGCTGCAATCTTGACGGCAGGAGCTGCCTGGATGCGCTGACGTTTGCTGCACTTTGATTTTCTTCCTCCCCCCCCCCCCACGTCGTTCCCCTGAGGACTTGTTTTTCTTTCCTGGGCGCAGGAGGAAGGCCAACTATTGTTCTGTAATTCTCCTTTCAGAACCAGCGCTGAGTCCGGTCGCGCTGAGAGAGCCGTCTCCTCCGGCAGAACAGGTTATATAATATTCTTGCTCCTCTGGGGCTGGATGAACCAGCTGTGAAGTCAAGTCAGATCAGAGCAATGCCATCACCGGCGTCCTGCTGCTCACGGGGAAGGGCTCCTTGCTGCCCTTTCAGCTGGTCCACGTGCTCAGCTCCTTTTGCTTCCAACAGAGCCGCTCTCCACTTAAGGCTTCATTTCTTCCCCCAGCTTCTAAGCGTTTTTGGAGTGCAAATAGACAACAAGTAGCTAAAACAAATCCCCCCAGAATGGAGGCAGCTCACGACGTCACCCCTTCTGAAAATGAAATTAATTCTAACTTTTTCACCCCGGCTCAGAAAGGGCCGGAACAGAGGAGCCGCCATCGCTGCACGGGTCGATGGCAGGGGAGCTCCTCTGCCACGCAGAACTCTGTGCTCATCAGGGACACAGAGAGCAGCAGACCCTCAGTGGGGTGAATCTGACGGAGCACAGCCACAGCACAGCCCCCCACCCACCGCGAGCCTCCAGAGCTCAGCCCATGGGCAGCGCTGTGGGGTGGCGGCAGGCACCCAAAGGCCCGGACCCACAGCGCCTGAAGAGTGGCTCCACCAGGACCCGGGGGCTGGGGGCGGCCTGGGGGGGGGGTTTACTCACCACTGAGGGAGCGGCTGGGGGAGGAGTGCTGGCTGTTGGGCGTGCTCACTGCAGCTCCCGCGATGGCCGAGCTGAACTCCTTCTCCAGAGAGGAATCCCCGCTGCCTTTGGGAATGCAGAAAGGGAAGAGGGATGTGAAGCTGCCCGCCAGCGAGACCCGCAGCCACTTTGCGCAGCAGCGACCCCCAGCTGCCCCCCAGCAGCAGCCCCAGGTGGGACCTGGCAGCAGCACACAGCAGAGCCCACGGCCCCACAGCACAGCGGGGAGGGCAAAGTGCTTTGGGATGGGAGCTCCGTACTCAGCGCCCTCTGGGACAGACGGCACCCGCAGCGCCGTGCCCCCCAGCCCCCCATCGTGTCCCTCATCGACGGCTTGTGGTGCTGCAGGAAATACTGGGTCACGTTTCCTTTGCTCTAAAAACAAACGCAGGTGCCCACGGCGCTGGCAGACGGCGCGGTTCCCCTGGGAGCTCCTGGCTGCAGGCAGTGCCAGCAGCGCTGCTGGGTGCCTCATCCCCATCCCTGCTGCCCTGAGACGGACACAGCCGTGCCCCAAAGGCCTTTTCCTCCAGCCAGGCTCCAGGCTGAAGAAGCGAAGCAGAGCAGCAGCCCAACTTCAGGGCAGCTCAGCTCCACGCACCCAAAGCCCACAGCCGGCAGCAGGAAGCACCCCGCAGGGTCAGCAAAGCACCCAGAGCCCTGAGGCAGTGACCCCCCCCCCAGCACTGCAGCCCAGGGCTGCATTTTGACCCTTGCAGCCCTCCAACAGCCCCCAGCACTCAAACTTCAGCCCAGACTCCCAGGGCTTGGCTCGGCACAACTCATCGAGTTGCTGTTTGTCACGCCTGCAGCATCAACGCTCCCCAGCTCCTCAGTGAACAGAGCTGGATGCTGAAGTTTGTGAGCACCTTACAATGCCAGCAACCCAAAACAGGGGGAGACAATGGAGGTGGGACGTACCAGATATGTAGGATCGTCCATTACAGTCTTCTATATCCATCCTTAAGGTACGTTGCTGAAAGAGAGAGCAGAGCAGAGTCAGAGTTTGCTTGCAGGAGCTGCTCAGCCACCTCCCCACCCCCCCCCAAATAAAACATGTCTGGGGCAGAGCTCTGCGAGCCCCCCCAGCGCAGCCCCACATCGCCATCAGCCCCACAGGTACAGAAACCCGGCCCTGGGGGGCACAGTGTGGGCGCAGAGCCACCACCCACCCCAGGGACAGACGGACACGAAGCGTCAGAAGCATGGAGTGGGGACATCTGGTGCCATTCTGCTGATGGGAAGAGCTGAGTTTGGGGCAATGGGACCGAGTGGCAACGCAGCATTGAGCCCAGCGCCCTGCAGACACCACGCCGAAATGAGAGGGAAACCCACCCAGCTAGGGTAATTAACTCATTAGCTATGAGGCGGCTCTCACTGGCCCACTCCCACCACTTCGCTGTCACACACACGCTCGCATCGCCTGCATGCAGAGCAGCCATGCAGGGAAATCCCCTCTGTGCAGCACAGCCCAGCCTGGCAGCGGTGGGCGCACGGCCCTGAGCTCCTCTGAGCTGAGGGCAACGGAGCCGAGACCCCCTCCCCCATTTTGCAGCCCCCTCCATGCACGCAGCGCTTTGTGCCACCAGGCAGAGACCTCAGCGACGCTGCGCTGAAACTGGAGCAGCGCTCAGCACTGAAAGAAGGGCTGCCCCCCCCAGGGGCTGCACTCAGGGAAGCAAAGCCCCCCCCAGCAGCCCAGTTTAACCAAAGCCCGGGGCTGAGCACGGAGCCACCCAGACGTCCTCTGTGCTGAGCGCACGGGGGCTCCTGAGGACAGTGGGGTCAGCGCGCCCCCCATCCCAGCCCTACACCGCCATCCCTGCAGCTCGCAGCCCCCCCAGGACAGACCCACTGCCTTCACACGGGGCGAAGGGCGGTACGAAGCCCCACAGCAATCCCTGCAGTTTCTCTTCCCAAAGCATTGTTTCCATTCACTCTGTTTTCCAACATGAGAGCTTTTTTTCCACCTTTGCCACGAATAGGAGCGCACGGAGCCATAAAAAAGAAGGGCAGTGATGTTGGAACGGCACTGAGGTCCATCTCCACAGTCCCACGGGGCCGAGCAGCCCCACAGCCAGGAGCAAAGTGCTGCGCTGTGTTTTATCCATCACCAAACAGCTCTCGCTCTGCACCGTGCGTTCAGTCGGACGAAGCGCTGCTGCTGCAGCAATGGAGCGGCTGACGGATCTTCGTGGGATGGAGAGAGGAAAACTCCCCGGGACGAGAACCCAAAGCTGGAGGGGTGGTGGGCAGCAGCTCAGGACCCCACGCCGTGTCCCCCCTCCTGATACATCCATGGGCATAACTTCACCCGCAGGGCCGTGGACGGAGGACGCGCGGCGCCGATCCGAAGCTGAGGTCCAGCGACGAAGTTGGAGCTCAAAGCAGCAAAGGCCGCCCCTGGGGCTCTTTGTGCAGCATCAAGACCCGCACCATCACCTCCAACAGCAAAGCTGACAGATG